CCGCAGGTGGCCGCCCATGCCGCTGCCCTCTCACTTGGACGACGGCAGCCCAACCGCCTGGAAGCCACCGCCGTCCGCGCGCGCCGCGCCCTCGGCCGGCGCCGCGGCCTGCCAGTTGCTCTCTGCAAACGGATTGTGCGGCGTCGGAAGCAAGGTGGCGTCTGCAGGCTGCTTGCTGGCGTGTTGATTCCCGCACGTGCAGACCGCAATCACGCCTCATGCCAGCATACATCCCGCTCGACCCCCGAGCACAGATGCATGCTATGCGACAACACCAGTGCTGACTTGGGTCAGCACCACGTTGCAAAGGGGGGCCCTCAAATATAAACCCTCGACCCACCCGCGTGCCAGTAGCCCCAGCTGCGCGGGGGCACCAGCCTCTTCTTAACCTCGACCTTCTCCTTGGTGATCTCGTAGACAGTCAGATCCTCGTTGATGATGATGGGGCCCTGGGGTTGCGGGTTGGCATCGGCCGGGTTTGCAGGTGTTGCTATAGGGCGTGCTTTCAGACGTACAGGCGTCCACGAATGTTGATGCGTAAGCGCTTACATCAGACACACATAGTACATGTAAACACACACACACACACACACACACACACACACACACACACACACGCACACCTGCCGCCACATCCACACATTGGACCACCCCGACACACATACACAGACAACACACACACATATCTCCACACACACACACACACACGTGCACCTTGGGGTACCCCTCCCTGATGTCCTCGATGATGGCAGCCCTGCTGGCCGCGTTGACCGTCAGGTGGTGCGCCACGCCCAGCCGCGGCTTCACGTCCTGGAAGATCACACCAGCCTGCTGAGGCGTGATGTGGCTCGTCTGCGCGCGCATTTGCAGGGTTTGCGGGGCGCCAAGCGGGCGGGCCGACAGGGTACGCGTGGGATGGTGTGCGAAGCGACAGGTGCGGCCCGTTCCATGGGAAACAGGGCATGTTGGAGTATCCCTTGGCTTGGATTGTATAACATCCTCACCCTCAAGCCGTACCCCACCCTTGAAGGCTGCCGCTGGCAGGACCCAAAGCCCCGACCACCCTCTCCACTTGTGGCGCCGCCCAATGGCGCCGCGGCTGCACCGCCTGCGTTGCGCCCTCGCCCCTGCCGCTGACCCCTGCCCCGCTGCCCCTCTCCCGACAGGCCGGGTCGGCCGCCCCTCACGTTGATGAGCAGCTGGCTCTCGTAGCTCAGGGCCGCCAGGTCCTCAATGGGGCCCATGTTCTGGAGGATCAGCACGTCGGTGCCCTTGGCCAGGTTGGTGAGCTCGGGGACGGGCCGCGTGTCGCCTGAGTGTGTTTGTGTGTGTGTGTGTGTGTGTGTGTGTGTGTGTGTGTGTGTGTGTGGAGTGTGTGTTGTGCGGAGGGGCGGCGTGGGCAACAACAACTCGCTGAGGGCGAGGCGTGAGCACGACTTCCCACAGGGAGGTGGGGGTCATCCAGCGGACTTGCAACGAGGACCACAAGACGGTTTCGGGAGAGCGTGCCGACGAATCACAACATCCTCTGGCCACCGATGCGCGCCCGCTTTCACGCAACTCTCGGCTTGGTGCCGGCGGCCGCCGACCCGCCCTCTGCCCGTCACTCGCCCTCGCGCAGCACACCGCCAGGCCCTGACAATCATGCAGACCCCTCCATCATGTATCCCCAACCATACTCTGAAGATCGGCCAAAAACTAAATTCTAAACCCTAGCAGTAAACCACGTTTTCTTCTCACCCGAGTAGGTGAAGGAGATGCCCTGGAAGTCAAGGCGATAAGCCACAGGCCCGCTGGTGTTGTAGTGGCTCACAGGGGTGGACCGGATGGTCACGCCGTTGCGCTTGTACACCACCTGTGTTTCCACGGCCACACAATTCGATGACGTCAGCGGGATGTGACGCGTGGCATGCGTGTTCTCACAAAGTCACTTTGGGGGTGGAGTCCCGAATTCTGCACCAAAACGTCGTGCCCGTCGCCTCGGAGCCTTGCCCTTTTCAATATTGCAGCCGCTGCCGGCGCTTTTCGCGGGCGTAACAATCAGCACGGCGTGCTGTATTATTGGATCGCAACGCAGGCCCAAACCGTCACCCCTCCTGGGCTCTCCATCGTGTGGGCTGCCGAATCCAAGCATGCACACACACCTCAACCCGCGATGCCACAGGCACTTCCCTCGCCTGAAGGAACATCGGCAGCCATCACCCCCACACCCTCACAGTCACACCTCTCCCTGAAGCCTAGTCGCACCCCAACAGGCCCCAAAGCCCCCAAACAAGACCCAAAACACCCTCAACAGCGCCTGCCCACCTGATTAACCTTGGAGAAGTCGAACTCGCGCGCAATCACCTTGTCGCCGTCGTCCTTGCGGCCCACCAGGTCAATGTGGCGGCGCGCGGCGGTGTCCCATGCCATGAACTGCGGGCGAGCGCGCGCGTGGTGAGAGTCGGGGGTAGGGAGGGGTGACCGGGTGAGGTGGTGAGGGTGCAGCCCACGCACGCGCATGTGTGCGTGTGGGGCTCGAAGTCTCACAGCGGTGGACAATCCTGATGACGCCGAATGAGCTGTCTCCTTTGCACCTGGTCGACCAGGCGTTTTGCCACGCCCCATGATGACTCCCCGGGCTTGCCGTGTCCCACACAGATGATGCCCCCTTCTTGTCAGCGGCACCCCTTCCACACTCCTCCCATCGCCCCCCGTCCCAAATCCCATCCACGACGCAAACACACACACACACACACACACACGCACAAGTACACACACAAAAATAATCCGTCGCGCGGCCGCCGGCTGCCGCCCGCTCACCCGCCGCAGGCCCTCGATGGCTGCCGCAGTGCCCAGCTCGGGGGTGGCCGCGGACGGCCCCCAGACCTCCCACGGCTGCTTGCGCCCAAACATGGCGCCCACGTACAGGGTCGCCAGGTCAGCGTGGTGGTCGGAGTGCAGGTGAGTCAGGAAGACCTGCGGACGGGGGCGGGGCGACCGAGCAGGGGTCGTGATGGGAGGGAGAGCGAGGATGGCGCCCTGGGCACGCCGAGCTGTTGGGGCCGCCCGCCCGCTTGCCAGTTCCGCTGGGGCTGCTGCGATGTGGGTGCTCGTGCCCCCGAGCTCGGGTCCTTTGCGCACCTGGCACCACAGCCAGGAGCTTATTCCATGTTTCCCGCAGACATGCCATGTGCAGCGCCACTCTCTCGCAAGATGCATGTATGTATGTTGAAACGTCGTCAATCAGGGGATAATCATACATATGTCCCATCAGAACCGGCCGCACACCTTGGTCAGCGTGGACAGGGGCACGCCGGTGGCCCACAGGTTGATGAAGGCACCGGTGCCCAGGTCAAAAATGAACTTGTCCTGCTCGCCGTTGCCGACCTCCACCAAGAAGCCGCTCGCCAGCTGTCATCATCGGAGGGTTTGAATTTCGGATCGGTTGAACGAGCGGGGTTCGCGGCTTGCGCCTCTGCTGGAAGGGCTGTGGGGTTTGGAGTGTGGCGACATGCAACCCCAATGGGGACGGCGGCGGCGGCAGCGGCGGCTCGAGTGCGGGGTGCGGGTCCAAAATTGCGGTGGGGCACAGGTCACACCTGCTCCTTGCGGACATCTGGCGAGCCGGATCCGAGGGTTGTAATCCTGATCGTGTTGGACTGCACCGGTGCGCCATCAGAGTAGACCCAGGGGGAGCCGGTGGCCGCTGCGCGCGCCAGGAGCGCGACCAGCAGCAGCAGCGCGGCGGAGCGCGGCGGCGGCATCATGTGCGCCCAAGCGGGTGACGATTGTGTCCGGGGCAGCAGTGACAACAAAGAGGACGCGATATATGCGCGTCTACCACGTATACTGCGCGATCGCCGTACTGTTCGGGCATATCCCTGGACACCCGCCAGCACTTCAGGCCATTCGGCCCGCTGGCATTCCACAATGGCGTAAGGACACGCCAGGGAAGGGGCCCCAGCGAGTCGCGCCGAGCCGGACGGGCCTGTCGCTTTGCAGGATTATCGGCGATTCCCGGTCCGACCGACCAAGCGGACGCGCAGATCGGGGAAGTGCCACGCGGGTGACCACTCGAAAACCTCTGAGCAGCCAAGTTGGGAGCAGCAACGATGTGGGAAGATAATCCCATCAGCGCGTATTTGGTGCTGGGCCTTTCAAATTTCGGCGGAGGCGTGGCGAAGGTACGATGGTCGGGCGGCGCGGACGCATCGGCGGCCGCCTGAGCAGCGCAGCGCGCACGCGCAAGGGGCGCGCAGCTCCCAGCAACGGGTGCCTCAAACGCCGGCCCGCACTTGCAAATTTCCAGGGAGTGACTGGCTTTGGGTCTGCCATTATCAGCCTATGCACATGGATCGTCTTCAAATCCGTCGGTGTCCAGTCAGGTGAGGATGGGCTGTATCAGCACAGGGCCCAGGCACAGGGGCCTGACGCACATCATAAGGCCCAGCGCCAATCGCATGACCACAGAATCCTTGGAAGTCTCCAAAGGCCCCACTGGATTGCAGCGCCATGGCTGCAGCTCGGGTTTCTCGCCAGCCCCGGGCCGCCGCTCGTCCGACGTTTCGCGCCCGCCGGTGCCACGCGCTGCATACAATGCACCGCAGGCACGCTGGTGCAGGCCGTCGTGACGGAGGCGCTGGCCAGTACCCTCATCGCCCCCTGGCTTCTTTACGTGACGCGCGCCCACCAGACCGCCGACTTAAGGATCGTTTCGGCCATCGCTCTGTTCGTGGTGGGCAGACCTCCCGTCGCCGGCGGGGGCGCACGCGCTGCGCCCGCTGTGCTGCGCGCGCTGTGCTGCGCGCAGCACTCGGGCATGGCGCACGGCGAGCGGCACGCGGGGCGGGGGGGGGGGGATGCTCACTGGCGGCAGGCCCGGCGGTAGCGCGTGCCGGAAAGGGTGCCAAATCACCAGCAAGCGTCCTGGCATGCTCCAGGCTGCGACCCTGTGCCGTCCCAGGCGCGATCACCTGCTGCCATCTGCATGGGTGCCCCTTCGGAGCCCCCACACCACCATCATGCGTCCCGCCTGCTCGCCTGCCCGCGCCACTCGCAGACCCTCAGCTCCCCAGTGGGTGCAGCTGTCTTGGCCTACATTGACGCCAGCAGGGTCGAGCTTATCATGGGGTGCGCCCTGCTGGCAATCATCCTATCAGAACCCGCGGCCGCCTGCTTGAGGCGCCTCCGAGGGGGCGCGGCGCCGGGCGACGACGGCGGCGCGGAGGGCGGCCGGCGGCGGGTGCAGGGGCCGGCGGCTGGGAAGCGTGCGGACGGAGGGGCGGAGGGGTTGGTGGTGGAGGCGGAGGCGGGCAGCTCAGGGGGCGGCGACTGCGTGGTGTGCGTGGGGGCGTCGGAGGAGAGCAGCAGCAGCGGCGGCGGCGGCGGTGAGGCAGGGACCGGCGGCGGCAGCGGGGGCGCGGCCTGGGTACCCGAGGGCGCCGCTCCTGCCGTCAGCGGCGGGGGAGATGAGGAGGCCGCGGCGGGCGCCGCCACTGGGGACGACGAAGCTGACTTGCGGCGGCCGCTCTTGGTGACGAACGGTGACGTCACCAGCGGCAGGGCGGGGGCAGGGGCAGCGGGCCCGGGGCGCCGCGCGGGCGGCAGGGGCGGCGGCTGCTGCGCGCTGAGTGAGGGCGCCAAGGCGTGGCTGCGGGTGCTGGCGATTGGTTCGGTGGCTGGCACGCTGTCGGGCGTCATGGAGGGTCTCACAGGTGAGATTTGACGAGCTGCCATGCCATCATAGTGCCGTAGCATATGGGTGTCCACGTTCCGCCCGGAAATGCGCGTGCGGCGCTCCCAGCGACGGCTGATCGTGTGGGCG